TAATGGAGTCCACCACACTCAGTGTTGGTGCAAGAATTGCAAGATCTTGCAAAAAGTTCAAATTGGTGGTGACTTATGAAACTGTGAATATTACTCTCAACAACAATTGCAGCTATTAGATCACAAGAAGTATGAATTCAAATATCCTCAAGAATAATAATGGAAACACAACCCTGACTAGTGTCACAAGCAATCTCATCATCTAAGCACTGGACCGGTACAAAGAATACTTTTGAAAAAAAATTACACGAAAATTTTTACACTAAAAACGTAAACATTTTTAAAATTTGAGCTGGGTCAGGGCTGGCCCCTCCCTAGCTACCCCCATGTTCCTCAGGATTCGATATTTTTTTGCAAACACATGCTCATGGTCAATCTCAAATCTGCACAGTCTGACCTAAAATATGAAGAGTCAAAAGCATCAATGCCATCTTGCCTACATCCTTGAGGAATCACGGGTAATAGTATATTACGGAGTAGTAATTTATTTTAGCCGCCCTCCCCCCAATACTTCGGAGTATTATTTATGCAACTGTAAGGGAAGAAACTCTGCAAGTAGTGCACTAAGCTAGTGCTCGACTGCTAGTTTTAAACCAACCCATTAGAGAGCACAAAAAATCAAAAGTCCTACATATATAATATGTAGTATTTAGTATGTTTGTTATAGCTTAAAGACATTCAAAATTCAGCCTGCTATATCTAACTTGTGGAAGCATGAAAATTGCAAGATACACAATAACTTAACTCAACATACGATGCCTAATTAGTGAACAAATTGGTTAATTTGTTATCAAATAAACTAATATAAGTAATAACGTGATATACAACTTTAGTGAATAATTAATTATACGACATTAAATTATTCCTATGACTATGACACTGTACTTTTTAATATTATATAATTGAATATCAAATTTTGAACCTGTTTGTTAGCAATTATTTTAAGTTATGTAAGATTGTTATTATAGCTATTTTTCATACTTCCTCCGTCTCTTTTTAGTTTGCAACAGTCAACATTTCACGTTTGCCGACGCACAATTTTGACCGTCATATTTAGTTGCAACAGTCAACAGTAAAAATAAAATAAAAATCAGATTATAAAACTTAGTAATGAGACGAATTTAACAATATTTTTCAAAAAAAATAATTCACATACATTAATAAATAAAATGTAGTCAAAGTAAAGTATATGAATAGTGTATATATTCCAATGTTGCAATTAATGAGATACGGAAGATAGTATAATTTTTTCATAATATAATTCTATTACTCTGTAATAAACTACAAAGTACTGTATATTTTATTTTTTTAAATAATTTTGCCAAATCAACTGCTTCATTCAAAATTTCATCGATTGCAACATATCAATTGATTCAACCAATTTTAGTACTGCTAAACAGGTTATTATGTTACTATATTATTTATATGCGGACTATTTTGTAGTGAGCATTTTAATAAACATATTATATTTCAAGCCCCCATACTAATGTCTGACTCCGCCCCTGCAGCTAATACTTAACGGAAGCACCACTAAAAACCATAATCATCCTCTCTTTCCTTCAACTGGCAACCTACTGCTCTTAGGATTTTAAATCTCAAAATATCCCTCATCGTTATGTCTAAAGCTTCAATACAAAACTTGTGAAGCATTGGAACGTTATCCCAAACTATAACTACTTATGTTCCATTCAAAGGTTCTCGTCCACCATTTCTCAGTCAATAAATGTGGATGACTTTCGACCCATTTGAAGTGTTTTCTCAGGTTAGCTCTTTACCTATCCTTGCTAGGAAATCTTATTACTTAGATTTTTTCAGAATCTCCGATTTCTGTCATTAATTTTTATTGTCTCTGGTGTATATTATTGTGAGGTATAGCCCCCCGTTATATTTTGTGATATTCTTGTATTTTGAAGATGTATGTCACTTCTAGAAAGGTTTTGGTCTTGTTCTCCTCTCTATTTGTATTTCCTCATTTATTTTATAAAATCTGGTAAATGTACCCCGACATTTACCCCACCGACTTAGGTAGTTGCCTACCGGGATGAAGAAAAATAAGTGAAACAAGTCAGAGGAAAACTCTGATGACAAATCTTAGTTTGGAAGATGTCGAGATAGTTCTCGATAGACTGAATTAGAGTGCTAGAGTGTTTTAATGGTAGTAAGGGAGGAGATAAGTTTCATGATAACTCCATGCTAGATGAGGTCTCACTAATTATAAAAAATCAATCACTACAAAAAATAATGGGATTGACACGGGCTATGTGTGGAACTTCGGTAGAGATTCGTCGAATTCGATAGGAGATTTGACACGGTTTTTGCACTGATTTGCATATCTATTTCAAATCCATCACAAATTTCATGCCAAAATTGTTGTCACGAGATATTTGGCATGGAGTCGCACCAAAAATATATTATGATCCGTGTCAAACTCGATCAGTCCGTGCCAACCCCGTGTTAACCTCGTGCCAATACTGTTGTTTTTTGCAGTGAACCATATTTTGTGTATCCCAGAAATTAAATTTATATAATTCTATACACAATTTCTCCAATTTCAGAGGAATTGCCCTTGCTACACTCAAAATGTACGAGGCGTGTGTACAAAAACGTCTACACATCGAACTTTATTAACAAAATTGAGATTTACATGTCATTAATGATATATGGCAACTTAATCTTTAATTTAATACCTTTTATGCGTTTGAAATTTTAACCTTGCCTTTGAACCCACTTGCATTGGTGATGATGGCATTATCATCATCTTCCCTGGGAGTTTCAACTTCAGCAAGAACTGCCCAGAGGAATCCTTTGCTTACCTTCTTGCAGGAGGCGTTTGAGATCAAGAAGCTTGATCGGGCTCTGAGTTTTATTTATGAAAGTTCTGGCAAGTCCCATTTTGCCACACCTACATGTACGCCCGATCCTATGGTCTATGGACGTAGTTCTCGATTTTAGCAGGCATATCATAATTTATCACGTGGTGAATATCATGAAAATCCAATCTTTTGGAGGCATTATTAGTAGCAACCAACACATCCTTCTTTCCTGCGGGCTTTGAATGATGAAATTGTTGGAATAAATCCGATAATACTTTAATCTTCATATTGAAATTATCTAGAGAAATAACTGAGCGGAAGCGTACCTGACTCCATTGGAGATGACCTTTAGAGATCCGGAAGACGGAGGCTGGGGTTTGCGTCTTCTAGTTGATACACACCCTCGGGGTTATCTCTCTAGCGATGGGATGCAAAAAGACGGAATGGTGTGTTCAACTAGGGACCATAACCCCTCTATTTATAGAGAATGATGGTCCCGGATAGAGGTAAAAGTCTAGGGGGGTGAATAGACTTTTAAAGCATTTTCAACTTCACAAACTTTTCCCCACTAGATGAGTTGATCTATGATCTTTTGGGAGATTATAGATGCACATCGGAAGTCTTAACCTCTGTGAATGTGAACTTTCTATCTTTGGGTAAATATTGGCCTTAAATAGTGAGCAGGTTGCTTAGTAGTTGGCTCGACAGTTGGGTGAATATCAGGGAACTGCTGAGGCAACTGCTGAGGAAATATATAGCTTATGATGAAATTAGTTATGAATTCTTGCTCAGGATAATGAAAGCACTCTGGAGATGTATATAGTTTATAGGAAAGAAGGAGTTTATATTAACAGTGGTCTGAGCAGTTGGGTGATCACCAGGGAACTGCTGAGGCAACTGCTTGATAAAAGATGAGAGTATGAGAGGGATGATTGCATAATCTTATCAGAGTGATATGAGCTTTTTGGAAGTGTGCTCAGCTGAGTTTAAGTGGAAGTTTATGGGAGCAGTGGCCAGAGCAATTTGGTGATTGTCAGGGAACTGCTGAGGTACCTGCTAAGTTATGATTCCCAGAACTGTTTGAACACACGTCTTTGTAGTGATTTTGTAAGAATACTACAATGTAAATATGTCTCACAAAAAGTATGTAATTAAGCAGTAGGCTGAGCAGTGGCTTCAGATGAGGCTACTGCTGAGGATACTGCTGGCAAACTACTTTCTTCAAAGAGAAGTGTTGGGTGTGTGCTCTGTTGACTGAAAGTAAATCAACACACAGTATACCCTGGTTCAGAGGTGGTGTAATCCTCCTACATCCAGTCCCACCCTCTTTCAGATGGATTTCCACTAAAGTATTAAGCCCAATACACTTAGTGCCCAATTTAGCCTTTACAACTGATTTGGCTTAGATTGAAAGGTGTTTCACAAGGAGTACACACCACTCCAAGTTACTCAATCCTTTAGAATTTTCTCAATTGATCCAGTGGGAATCAAAAGGTACTCTACTATCTATCCACACTAGGATTAGAACAACTGTTCTCCTGAGTGTTTACAACAATGTGTTTTGTGATTTGTTTCAAGAAATTTCTAACCTCCAACTAGGAACTAAACTTCCAGAATATAGCAATGATGATTTGCACTTTCTCTTCAGCCTATATTTATAGGCTTTTCTGGCTGATCAATCTTATCTGTTGTTAAGATAAATTGATCTGAAGCGTTGAACGAATTGTACTTTTGTCTTCATGTGCTGGAGTATTTATTGAGGGTGTCTCCACTTATTGGCCGCTGAAAAATCACTTCAAGATCATTCGGAGATTCCTTGTATGTGTCCCATGTCGTAGGTCCATGTACGTTCCAGCATTTATTACTTGTCAAATTTTGTCTTCAATCACACAAATGCAATGTATTCGTACCTATGTGACCTTTATTGTTGTGAAAATAATTGTTTTGTTTAAATAAAATATATACCGGTAGGAATTAAAAATCCGATTAAGGTAAAAATTACCTTATTGCATTTTATATTTCCAGTATAATTTTACTAGCAACAAAAATTGTACATTTGATTTTTGTCACGTATTATGAATACAGATGCTCTAGGTAAATGAGACACAATGTACAGGTGCAAAGTATAGTGGCATCATCAAAATCTTATCAAAATTGGGTACTAACAATTTCCCCCTTTTGATGATGCCAAAACTATACAACACGGAAACCAAATATTTTTTATTGATTTTCAAGTATTATGATACATTGTTTTTAATTCTAAAGTACAATAGTTTTTAGTCACTTTCGGACTTTTGCTCAAGTCTACTCTTGTTGGCATCTTCTAGTTTCTTCTTGGATTCCTCTCTAGCTTTTGCTTCCTCTTCTTTTCTTCTCCTGATTTGCTGCTCTTCTTTATATAACTTGTTCTTCCTTCTTGTTTCAGCTTCCTTCTTGACTGCTAAAGACCTTGATGATGAGGGACCAGCTGGTGTTGTCCTTCCCCCCTTATTGGCATCATGAAAAAGAGGGGTGTTACATTCCTCAAAAAGTGCCTCTATTTCTCCATCAGAGTCAGGTTCTTCTTGATGCTTCCGTACTGGATCCAGGCCATAGACCTGAATGCACAATGCTTTGATGTAGTTATGGATGTCCATAAGATCAGTCTTCACTTCATCTTTGACTTCATGTTCCAAGTCTTGAACCCTTTGTTTTGTAGTTTGTAGATCCTGACCTAGCTTCTGGAAGTCACTTCCTTGCTTCCAAAATGTTTCTTGAGTGGCCTTCTGGAGAACTTGGAAGTTGTTAGCAACGTCCTTTGTTAGTTGCCCATAGGCTTGAGCATGAGCCTGCTGCTATATGAGGAATTTTTGGGAGAGCTTTGGCATGGTAGGGAACTCCTCGTTCTTTAGTTTGTTGATGTAAGCTTCATGCTCTTGAATTCTTTGGAGGGCCTGTTCAAGGTTAGGTGGTAAGGAAGGGAGAGAAGGTACCTGGGCAGAGGACTCTGCTGTGGGTTGGGATCCAACTGCTAGCTCATGATCCCGCAGTTGCCTGATATAAGCTTGGATTTGGTTTTCCAGCTCTCTGTCTTTTTCCTGTTGATCTGCAAGATCTTTGTGTATGGCTTCTAGCTGAGCCGGCTGCTGGGATAGCTGAATATTGAGTTGTGCCTTTTGCTCAGAATTGAAGACTTGTTGTATCATGAGGTTGCTTTTGATGTAGCGGTGTACTTCTGCAAACCGCATCTCCAGTAGTTTATCAAAATGCTTCTGCATTTTGATCAATCTCTTGTGAAGTCTCACCTCGGCGTTGTTGATGAATTTGGTTGTGGCCCTTCTTTCTTGGATGAAGACCTCTGCCAGTGTTGGAGTATCCTCTGCACCATCGGTGAGAATTTTCTCCTTGAGGACAGTTGATGTAGTGGGCTGCTGTTCAGGAGTCTCTTCGTTTACTTCCACTTGTTGAAATTCCATGTTGAGGTCAGGAATTTGAGTCACCTACTGGAAGTTGGCAGTTGGCTGCCCTGGAGTTTCTTCATTTGCTTCTTCTTCCATTGCTTTAGATGTTTCTCCACCTCCATGTGTCTCCAATCTAGATTTCTCTAGAACTCGCCTAAGTTCTTTGTCACTAGAAGAGGGAGAGTGGATAATTTGTTTACCTCTTGAGTGTGGTGGCCCCTTAGGATCATTGTCAGCATCATCAGCATCATCATCATCACCGGAGCTTTCAATTGCATCCTTGGCAGTTAGCTGCTTCTTCTTCAGCGCATACACTTGATGGATTTGGTGGAGGTTGACTGCAGTATCATTCTTAATGGGCGGAGCCGCGGAGGGGGTATCATCTCCATCCACAATAATGTGCCACTGTTTCAGAATGGAGTCACAGGACCTTTTTCACATTCTTTTGATACCTAATGGAGGTTTCCAACCGATGAACATAGGATCCGTGTAGGTAATCCCTTTTGCAAGTTCACGCACTGACATCAGAGTCTTTCTGTTAGAGAGATGCTCAATATCTTCTTTCTCTTGCTGAAACATTTGCTCAGCCACACTCACCTCTGGGATTTCTTCTTAGCCGAGTAGCCTTCACAAGTAAACTTGTTTTTTTCCTCAAATAGTTTTGTCTTTCAGCTTCCTTTTCTTACTATTGTAGATTTCCCCTTTCGCTGCAGGATCTTTTGTACCTCAAGCGCCCTTGACTTTGTTAGAATATATTTAGTTAATTATGAAATGAGTATTTTGTTACACTAAAATCAGTATAATGTGTAAAATAAATGTGTTCATGTGTAACATTGTAAAATAAACATAATAAAGATTGTAATTCTAGAATAAGGATTTAATAAAGTTGTTATTTTCTTGTGGATAAATCTACTGATAGTTTAGCAAATGAATGTAATTACATTAGGTTGATTTTTTATGAATAAAAGTATATTTGCGAATTATATATGAAAATGAGTTTTATGTTGTACTTATATGAGTATAATTTCAAAAAGAAATGAGTATTGATATGAAATTATAAAATGAGCACAAAAAAAAATTCAGATAAATTTATCACAAAAACAAATACAAAAATGTCCATTGATATCAGGGGCGGATCCAGGAATCTAGACTGGACTGGGCTGAAGAGTAATTATACTAGGCCTAAATATGAAAAGGGGGAGCTAAATATGAAAATTGAAAAAATTTACACTAAAAAATTAGAAAATAATTAAGTTGTCCTAACCTTCAGCCCACTATAGTCTATACATAGATCCTCCTCTCATTAACATACCACTTTAAAATGAAAACAAGTAGCGAATGAGAATATGACACTTACGAAATGCACATTGATATAACACTTTAAAATGAGCATAACATAAATATCGAATGAGCATAAATTACTTAAGAAATGAGCATGAAAAAATTAAAATCTGAACATATATGTTTGTATCTCTATATGTCATCTAAATATATTTGTTATTGATTGTACATTTTATATCCCGCTCATTTTTTAAAGATACACCAATGTTCATTTGTTTTAAATCTTATGCTCATTGTAGTATGGCATAAAACACATTTCTAATGCACATATGCAATCATTCAAAAATATGATTTTCTTCTGCGCCGATATTGAGATGAATCGCCCCCCTCCTGAACCACCGCCGTTCCAGGAAGATGAGATCATTTGGATTGCTTTCTTTTCGGTGGCTGGTGAAACTGGAACAAATTCTACAGTTGACTCCTTACCGGTGGCTGGAGAAACTGGGATGTTTAAGAGTTCTTTTGATAATTATTGTGATCATAGCAGGAGCAGTCAATCTGCAGGTAGAGTCTACTTCTTTGCAGGATTAGCGATTCGGCATTTTTGATTAGAATCGTTCGTTTCTATGTCTCACCACATTGTAGCCTTGAGCTTTATGATTGTAATGTTTCTTGTCATCTTCATTAATAATAATTAAGTTATTTGTTTTCAAAAAAACTTACTATAGAGTAGTTGTTTAGTGATGAAAGTATAACAATTTTATTAGAAGAAGTCATTTATAACTTGTCAATTTTGATTCACAAATTTTATTTTGCTCACTTTATAATGCTTCACTCATGCACATTTATGTTAAACATTATACTTATTTTAGTATAGCAAAACACCTGTTTCAATCATTCACACCTACTAAACTCATTCCAATTACTAGAATTAGCTATCTTTGCTACTTTGTTGTAGATATATATTTGATAAGAATACATGAATCAACTTTATTTTGATCATTTTATGATGTCAAATTAATGTCCATTTCTTTTAGGCACTATACTCATAATTAACTTCTTTTAATGCACATCATATTTGTTTTAAACGTTATACTCGGTTAAGTATAACATAAAATTCATTTATATCATTGGCAAACGTAATATTTTCATAACAAATCAAATTAGTGTAACTAATTACTCAACATCGCTAGTTTTAGCAATTAAAAATATAACAATTTGAACAAGAATTCATAAATCCTTATTTAAGATCTACCAAATTATTATGTTCTTTTATATAAAATTACATCAATCCGCATTTAATTTAAACACTATACTCATAATAATAATTGATACATAGAAGGTTGTATCTTTTAATGAAAGAGAGAGAGAAGTATATGTTTTATTGATTTTCCAATCAATGTGAAATTTTAACTTAATTGCATGTAAATAGAGAAAAAGCTAATGGAAATATACATTACAATAACAAAGAAGCAGGGGCTTACAATTAAAGGAGGAAGAAGAAATGTATACTACCTCCATCCCTATGCCTAGTGTTTGTCATTCATATAGATTCATTAAAATTTAATGAATAAATATCACAAAAACGCAATTCTTAAATAAAAGTCTTAAACTATAACAATGTAATGTTACATTTTGTGAAGTTGTGCTCTCCGAAGTGACTGTTTTATTCGAAATCAAGTACTTATTAATGTCTCCAACTTGTCAATACGTAATTTCCTTTTTCTCTTTTGAAATCCTTAAAATAAACTTCGTATAATTTAGTGGAATCCTTAACAATATATACTAGTAATTTTCTCTACAACTCTACAAAATACAAAGTATGTAATTTGATTAATTAAAATCCATAATTGCAATATTGATAATCCTAAATAAAAAGCAAACAACAATCAACTAGCATTTAGAAATTTACAAATTAACACATTAGACATGGACACATGAAAAATAAATTAATCAATTATACATCACATTTAACATAGCAAATCAATATAAAGTTAGAAAATCTCTGAAAATACACAAAAAAATACCAACTAACTAAATTACTAAAAATAACTAAAGAGTAAAGAAACCAAGAAATAAAGCCAAAGGAATACAAAATACTATCACCGTCCCATAATACTTGGGCAACTTTCCTTTTATGGCCGTCCCAAAATACTTTACCATTTCCATTTAAAGTAACAAATATGTGGCTAAAATTATTTCTGTCTCCTCTGCACCAATATCAACCACACAGTTTTTACTTTATTAATCTACGTGAAACTCAACATTGGCCAAGTATTATGGGACGGAGGGAGTAAAAAATAAGGTAGATAGTGCTTGTGGCTTACCTAGGGGCCTAGGAACGGAGAGGGAGGCCAGGGCCAACCGAAAAAACACTTCCTAGATATAAGAGCAGCCGGCCAAATAGCAGTCCACTATACCCTCTTCGGCTCTTCCGAAGCTCTAAATCGTCCTTCGTTGTTTGTCTCCTTCGCAAGCTCGCAGTAAAGCAGAAAGGGGATAGACGCTGGCTTGAGCAGGTGGGCAGATGGGCTAGAAAATACTCCCTCCGTCCCGTTAGAATGTTCCCGCTTTCCTTTTTTGGATGTCCCGTTGGAAAGTTCTCATTTCCTTAAATGGAAAGTTATCCTACATCAAAACAGAGTCAAACAGTGCAAAACATTGTCAAACAGTGTCGAAACAGTGTCAAACAGTGTCGAAACAGTGTTAAAATAGTAAAATTTACCCTCTGATAAGTTTATTTCCTTAATATGTGTGTAGGTCAAATCGGGAACATTCCAACGGAACGGAGGGAGTACATAGGTATAACAGTAAAGTAAGGAAAAAAAGGGCCCGTGATATTTTCAGTTTTTTTGGGCCCTGAGGCTTGGGCCTCTCCGGCCTTGCATAAGGCACGGGTCTGTGTTTTACGTAAGCCGACACTTGAAGTGGTGGTTCTTTTAACCAGAGTTTAGTGGAACAGTATTTTGAGAAATTTTTTTAACCTAACCTTATTTTGGGAACTATTTTTTATTTTAACATTATTTTAAGAAAAAACTGATGGGAGAGTATTGTTTTGTAAAGAAAACAAAAACATACTTATCCATTTTCTCAAAACTGTCGCATTGATTTATTTTTTGTAGGAACATCTATTTTCGATTAACCTCTAAGCCACAAATATTACGGTGTACTTGGTCATTACTCCCGAATCATATTTTATGGATAAAAATTAACTCTTGCGGGGACAGTATTCTGATCTTTCAATCCCATCCATTTCACTTTTTTTCCTAATATGACGCTGACTGGGAATAGAACTTCGAATCCAAGTCAAATTCAAAGCATTCACGGAGGATCATATCATCGTATAGCCCCTTTTTTGTTTACATCTCTCAGCTTTCCTCCGTCTTCTGTCTCCTCAGATTCTCAACCCAGCTTCTATCAATTGCGTTCCCAGTTTTAGGTCGATTACAATTACAATAGGAGGGTTGATTCTTCTAAATTTTCAGGGTTCCATCTCAGCTCTTTATTTTCAGGGCATGTCTTCAGATCGTGGATAGATAATGTGAAAAATCCGATCTTTCATCGAGCTATTGAATAGAAGATGTCAAGAAGGGGAATTGGGACTATCAGTTTTGATTGGCAGCATGTCAATCTTCTAGGACGCGAATACCGATTCGGCAGGATTATAGATTCATATTCAGTGGCCTGCGAAGCTTTTTCCGAACATCTGTTTCTCTGATCCTTAATTTCCTTCCCAGTTCCCTTTTTTCTTACTTACTTCTTTGAAAAGTTTGAGTTTTCCTTTATAGTTCAGATGGATTTGGGGGCATCGGGGTTTGTTTTTCCTTTGAAAACTAACAGAAAGATGGAAACTTCTGATGATGAAGTTGCTGAAGTATCTTCTGACAATCGATACATTCGGGTAGTCTCTTCTCTTTCCCTAAAAAAGTTGGCTTACTTCGAAACCTCATAGCTGAAATTAACTGTTATTCCTTCGATAAATGTCTGGGATTGTGAATGTAGTAATCTTGATATGCTTTTGGTTGTGAACAGGATAACTAGTGCTTAGTTTTGGCACTTTATGATTTCAACCTTTTTAAAATTGTTGATTCACGGTAGAATTTGTGTGTATTCTGACACATTGACCGGGTAGTTGAGTAATGGGATGTTATAGTTTTCCAGGCTCCTTTAGTTGTTGTTATGTAATGTTTTGGCTTTGCCGGTGCCATCACATTTTATTTGTCTTCTTTTCTCCAGTATAATGAAATCTTGGGAAGAGGAGCATTTAAGATTGTGTAGGTTTCCTGCTTCCATCTCTTTCTTCCCTTCACCTGTGCATATTATAGATTTCTTTAAATTCTCAAATTATAACTTCTAGGAATTATGAAATTGACTTCCATTTAAATGGGACATGTAGCTATAAAGCGTTTGACGAAATGGAAGGAATTGAGGTTGCTTGGAACCAAGTCAGTATTGATGAGGCAATGCAGTCTTGTGCAAATATGGAAAGGTTATATTCTGAGGTTCACCTGTTGAGGACATTGAAACATGAGAACATCATAAAGTCACTTGACTCCTGGGTTGATGATCAGAGCAAAACTATTAATATTATCACAGAGTTATTCACTTCTGGAAGCTTGAGGCAGTGAGTTATACATACGTAGATTGCATATAACTCACATTCTCTCATACTCATATTTCTTGGCCGCTTCACCATCCTTCTAAAATTATATGATTATGTTTTCCTTTTGATGATCTAATGTGTAGATATCGAAAGAAACATAAGGCTGCTGACATAAAGGCCATCAAGAATTGGGCTAGGCAAATTCTTAAAGGCTTAAATTATCTCCACATTCACAACCCACCTATCATTCATAGAGACCTCAAGTGTGATAACATATTCATCAATGGGAATCATGGTGAAGTTAAAATAGGAGATCTAGGATTGGCTACAATAATGCAGCAGCCTACTGCAAAAAGTGTTATTGGTAAATCATTGATGTGAATTAGTAGCCTCTTTTTCTTGAACCTTGTTGCTTATTCTCTTAAGTTTTTGTGGAATGACATGCAGGAACTCCTGAGTTCATGGCACCTGAGCTTTATGATGAAGAGTACAATGAACTCGTTGACATTTATTCATTTGGTATGTGCTTGCTAGAGCTCATAACACTTGAATATCCCTACAGTGAGTGCAGAAATCAAGCACAAATCTATAAAAAGGTTACTTCGGTAAGATGCATAAGCTACTAGCGATTCATATAAGGAGGTGTCTTTTTGTGTCTAACTGATTCCCATCTAAATATTCTAATCTGTGTTTATAGGGTATAAAACCTGCAGCTTTGGATAAAATTGTGGATTCAGAAGTAAGGCAGTTCATAGAAAAGTGCTTGGTACCAGCATCTGAACGTTTAAGCGCTTCACAACTCTTGAAAGATCCATTTCTTTCATGCGCTACTACTAGTTCAAAGGAACTCTTGCCTGACGTCATGCAGAACTTAAATGTAATGCCGAAGTCTGATACTCTCTCAATGGAAATAGACTCCACCTCTAGAAAGTTATCCAATGTTGCTTGTGTAGAAAGCATGACTGGAATTTCTCAAACTTCCGAGTTTCTAAGATGCAATGGAAAAAATGAGTTTCGGCTGAGAGGGGACAAAAATGATGAAAGTTCCATTTCCTTCGGTCTGCGCATTACTGACAAGAGTGGTATGTTGTGCTTCTTCAAAGCTGATATATGCAATTATTGAGATGTATTTAATCCCATTTGGTCAGGCCTAGAATGGTTGAAGTGGCCAAATTAGCTGAACGTGCTAACAATATGTCTGAAATGGCTGAACATGTTCAATTATTTGCAATATTATTTAAAATTCTCTTTTTTATTTTTTTGAGAAAATAATACCTAAAAATGAAGTCAATTTTATTTGTTTTAGCTAAAAAAGTAACTTCTGCATTCCTTCTTTAAAACCAAACGTTTAACGAGTGTGATGAATGAAAAATATGGCTTATTAACCGGAAAATGCCTTACAAGCAGGCACTTAAAATAGCTTTAACATTTTGCATGTACTCTTTTGCATGTGCTTCTTCAAAGCTGATATATGCAATTATTGAGATGTATTTAATCCCATTTGGTCAAGCCTAGAATGGTTGAAGTGGCCAAATTAGCTGAACGTGCTAACAATATGTCTGAAATGGCTGAACATGTTCAATTATTTGCAACATTATTTAAAATTCTCTTTTTTATTTTTTTAAGAAAATAATACCTAAAAATGAAGTCAATTTTATTTGTTTTAGCTAAAAAAGTAACTTCTGCATTCCTTCTTTAAAACCAAACGTTTAAAAATATGGCTTATTAACGAGTGTGATGAATGAAAAATATGGCTTATTAACTGGAAAATGCCTTACAAGCAGGCACTTAAAATAGCTTTAACATTTTGCATGTACTCTTTTGAACAGGTAAAGTGAGGAATATTCATTTCATGTTTTACCTTGATCACGACACTACTGTCTCAATTGTTGAGGAAATGGTTGAGCAACTGGAGTTGCCAAATGAAGATGTGGCCTTGATTGCCAATATGATTGATTACTTAGCCTCAAAACTTGTACCAAGTTGGAAACCTTCGTCAAGAACTTCTGACCAAGAATCTAGTGAGCAGCCGCATGTCATTTCTCATGTACCATCAGGAGGGAATAATAATAACAATATTGAAGAGTTATTTAAGGTGAATTTATCTTCTTTATATGATGGTGGAGTATCAACCACATTTAGTGAGCATAAGAAGTACTTAACGTCGATCTCCTCAACTGGGTCATGGGATGCTATATCTAATGATATGAATGGTGTGTGTGTTTCCTCGCTCTCTGTAGCTGACATGGATGATGGTAAAGAACAATGTCATGATCTAAAGATGGAGATTGATGCCATTGACATGCATTATCATCAATGTTGTCGAGAACTAATGCGGATGAGGGAAGAGGCAATTGAAAGTGCTAAACGGAAATGGATCGCGAAAAAAAATTGTTCCACTTGATATGATGCCTTCCTTCGTACTAGAGTTTGTGTAGTTAGTGCTACTTCTTCTTTGGGTTTTCTTTTTACCAAACGGAGGAAATATTTTTGCTTCCTCCTGATTATACAAATTGCTGTTGTGTTTTATTTTACCCTACCGCCCCATGCCTCCCAGGTTTGTTTTTTTTTAAGAAAATTGAGTATATACTTGTTTTTGCCGTTATTGACAATTGGCAGTTAGTTTAATTTTCGAGGGAATGAGAATGTTCTCTCTAGCTATAAGCTATATTTAATTCTATATGTACATAACATTTTCAAGTTTTCACTTCAAATAATTTGTATTTTGTATGTGAAGCTTTTCTCACTTTATGTAACTGGATTTCAATGCGCTTTTGAACATGCAATGGTACTTAGAGATGGTGGACAGGGTTCTGGAACAATCGGTTTTCTAATCGGGATCGAGTCTTGAACTGGTTTTCCGGATCCGGGCTAAAACTTAGACTCGGGGCAGATAGGGGAGGATAGGCCAGGGCCACACTTTTTGGGACCAGTTTTTACATTACAACAATCGGGAAGTAACTTAAAAGGGGGTCAAGGGTTGACCTGACCTACTACTTTTTCCGTTTTTTACATTACAATCATTCAGAAACAACTCAATAATGGGTTGGGGTCCATTCAATAGCTGAAAAGGGTGGGTAGCGGTGGAGGTTTAAAAAATAAAAAAAATAAAAAAAATCGGGACTAGATAGCGGCCGACATTTGAACTGGTGATGAGCCTGAACAGGATCCTGGTTGGGATTAGGGTTGTAAATGAATTCAAATATTTAATCCAACAGAATACTTGACAATAATAGTTGTATTCCTATAATTATCGAATATTTAATATTTGAATCTTATTTTACATTCGTATCCGATTTGTTTGGTATATTCGAATCTCTTACGAATCTTATTTGAATATTTAATTTGAAATACATTAAAGTTAATTATGAAAATAATTAAAATTATAATGTATAACTTGCTCTTTTGACTCATTTTTATAGTACATATTTCATACCAAACAAAATATATCTATCAAAATACATCAATAAATATATCAACAGACAACTATAAATTTAAAATAAGCTATTTTGATTTAGTAAAGTAAGAACATTTAAATCAAAATATGCAAAATACGTACTAGTTTTTGTGCATAAATTTTATGCTATTAATAATTTTACATTGAATAATATTTATTTATAAGGAGTAGTATTTATTGGTTCACATGAGAACACCCCTTAATGTGAGAAGTGAGAACAAATCCTCACCCTCCAAAATATGTTACGATCTACGATGAACCAAAGGTCACTGGAGGGCATTTACGTATTATTGTCTCCTGGCCAACCGATCGATCTTGCAGTTAATGCCTTCCACATTTTTAGTAATGGAAAAAATCAACTGCATATCATATTAATTTTTTAAATTTATTCCTTCCATGATTTGAGTTGTCCGTTTTTAGAAACAAAAAGTGAAGCCACGTTAACATCTCAAACTAAGGTCTAATATTTGCATTATAGTCCCCAATAAATAAGTGAAATGTTCTAACAATTGTTATTTTCTCAATAAAACTATTGTGTGTTAGATACTTATTATTATGTGCTATATAGTATTTTATAAGTTCTATAAATCCCTTACATGTTAATATACCGAGTACGAGGTACATAAGTACATTAATGTGCATTAGATATTGGTTGTTATTTGTGAGACACTGATTCTTGTGCGGTAAATACTTATTATGATTCTATATATATTATGTGATTCCAATTGTGCATTAGAAATAGATTCGTGTGTGTTATATATTAGTTTAAGTTGTGTGATATCCTTATACTTTATATATTAATTAGTTTTCAATTTTGTGTGCTTGATATTGTTCTTTGTGCATTAGATATTGGATTTTGTGCTTAAGATACCGGATATAGTTTTTCCTATATGTTTTTTTCTTATATGTATTGTGTGTTAGATTCTGGTTCTTGTGCGTTAGATAGTAGTGGTTGTGTGTCACATACATATTCTTGTGCATGTGGTAGCTGGAGCTGTTTTTGTGGTTTATTGTATACATATTATACTTATTTTTTAAAAATAAAATTATATATGCTATATTGGTGTCATATGAAAGATAAAAAAACAGCTATTTAATTTGATATAATTTTTGTTAAAATCGGATTATTATTGAAAAAGTTAAATCAATTTTTAAACTATAAGATTTTATATGATTTTAGTATTTATTTTTACCTACTTTTTAGGGAAATGACACTCTAACCGATAGACATTAAATATTTTTTTTTAAATTAATGTAGGTCATCTCATATGCATTAGATATGGGTGATAGTGTGTTCTATACATGTTCTTGTGCATGCACTTGTTGGAGATGTTTGTTATTCTTTATTGTATACTCCCTCCGTCCCCTTTTAAATGTCCCGGAAGAGGGTGGCACGAGTTTTAAGAAAAGTAGGTTTGTGTGGTTGATATTAATAGATAAAGTAAGAATAAAGTAAGAATAAAGTAAGAATGATTTTGAGCCACACAAACTTTACCAAATAAGGTATGAGACAATTAAATAGGGACATCCCAATATGGTAAAATGGGACATTTAAAAGGGGACGGAGGGAGTACATCTTATACATATTTTATTTTTAAAAATTATATATGACATATTAGTGTCATATGAAAGAGTATAAAACATTATTTAATTTGGTATAACTTTTGTTAAAATCGGATTATTATTTAAAAAGTTAAATCAATCTATAAACTGAAGAAGTTTTATATGATTTGAGATTTATTATTACCTAGTTTTTAGGGAAATGAGCACCTTCAATCGTATGGATTTTTTTTAAATTACCATCCTGTCCATTTAACATGCGTGTGATTAGATGAGATGTCATGGTTTTTTTTAAGTGTTTGCACTCCCATTGTGCATCCGTGCATCTACTCCTCTTTTGGCCATTAATTTACTAAGATCTACGGTTATGATTTGTTCTTATTTCTCACAATAAGGAGTGTTCTCATTAGAACTCAACCATATATATATATATATATATATATATATATATATATATATATATATATATATATATATATATATATATATATTGGTTCAAATGAGAACATGTCTTAACGTGAGAACGTGAGAACAAATCATCACCCTCCAAAATATACGCTGGTCTGCGATGAACTAAATAGAACTGGGGGCATTTCCGTATTATTCTTTGTTGGCCGTTTAATTAACCGTTCTTGGAGTTGATGCATTCCACATTTATAGTAATGGAAAGAATAAAGTGCATGTCTTATTAGCTTTTTAATTTTACTTCTTACGTCAATTCAGTGGTCACTTTTAGAAACAAAATACTATTTTCCATGTAGAGAACTTTTGCATGTTTGTATAGAAATTAAAGTTCGTTAGTGAGCAACAAACAAAGTAATCAAAATATCATTCCCTTTTTATTCAATTATTTCTTCAATAATATCTCTCTTAATTGTTAATCCCCATATCATAGTTATATTTTTCAACACATATTTTCGTCTTTACGTTATATACGAAATATGAGCTAGATACAAGTTTATGTGCATTACACAAATGAGTTTTTTGTTAGATACCGGTTCATGTGCACTACATAAATTCGGGGTTGTGTGTTAGATATCGGTTCTTGTGCATGACATACTTGTTTTGATTCTATATGTCTATACTATGTGCTAGATATGAATTCTCTAACATACCGAAGTATATACATATTGTGCTTTAGATACTAGTTCATGTGTACTATATGAAGACCTTGTGGGTTATATATTAATTCTTTATTTTTGTGCATTGTATACTACTTTTTGTGACAGAGATACTTGTTATTGTGCTTTATATACAAACTATGTGTGAAATACTACTTTTTATGTGCATTAAATATTGATGATTGTGTGTTAGATACATGTTCTTGTGTGTACGGTAGTTGAAGATGTTTGTTTCGGTTTATGACATACATATAGTACTTTTTTAAATAAAAAAAATTATATATGCTATATTGGTGTCATACGAAAGATAAAAAATATTATTTAATTTGATATAATTTTTGATAAAATTGGATTAGAATTTTAAAAGTTAAATCAATTTTAAACTAAAAACATTTTGCATGAATTAAAATAATATAGTGACCTATTTTTATGGAAAGTATGTGGCCCTTCAACCTTTAGACATCTTTTGACACTTTTACCCACTAGTCAAGCCACGTAGGTGTATCGGTTGTACAAATTTATTGTGCACCTCCCACTAATTTCACCGTCCGATTCTCAAGATTAAAAGCCAAGATTTGTTCTCATGTTCTCACGTTAAGGTGTGTTCTTATTAGAACCCCTCCATATATATATATATATATATATATATATATATATATATATATATATATATATATATATATATATATATATATATATATATATATATATATATATATATATATATATATATATATAAAGCAAAAGGTTGTTAAAGAAAAAGGAAGGAGAAAAGTAACTAGTTATTGCTCAATTAATTGCAACTAATTACAAAAATACCAAATGTGCCATGTTTTTTGTACAACTAGTTGTACCATTAAATACTACAATATAATTTGTGCCATAACATTACATATACATTTAGTCAACTCAGTTTTTTCTTATAATTCAGCATCGTCAATATATTCAATTGCAAAACTTTTTTTTAAATAAAAGTACGTAAAGCGTTACTTTTATTATTATACGGAGTACATCAATTCTTTACTAAACAATTTTTGCGATTAAATATTATTTAAATGTCAAACATTTTGATGAAAAAATAAATAAATTTGAAGTTGAATGTTTTTGTTGTTACTTTTTAGACCTCTTTGTAAACAATACTCGTATAACACAAAGATGTAAAAGAATCTTAACCAAATCTAAATTTTAGCAATTGAATCCATATCAAAAATCTAAAACCTTCAACAATTAAAGCTTAACTTTTTTTAAAAAAAATATATAGACAAAATTGATCAATATCATATTAAGACCATAAAAATTTATAAATTTAGATATACTTCCTCCGTTCTTAAATAAGTGCAACAGTCAACATTTCACACTTGCCGAGACACAATTTGACCATCAATATATATAATTCTCTATTAGTAAAAAAAATTAAAAAATTAGTTTTTGAAAATTTACAATGAGACAAATTTAATAATATAGTTTTCAAAAATATATATTAATACATCAATAAATAAAATGTAATCAAAGTAGAACATGTGAATAGTGTAAAATTTCACATGTTGCACTTATTTAAGAACGGAGGTAGTATATTTTTGTAAAAAATGGAATACAAAAAGTTATAAATTTATAATAC